GAGTCCATTTATGGAGAATCGCTTACCTACTGTCAAGTCTGCCATATTTTCTGTTGGCTTATGTGACAGAATCCTTCCAGACAAAATTCCAGATAAAGTCGTCAAAGCACGCTGGTAGATTGAATCTATGCGGTTGAAAACGCTGCCCGCGTTCGCTGATGAGGAAAAGCGTCCGCGGAGGTGAGCAATGTATCCACGCCAAACGGAAATAATTTGCGGGCAGGTAAAGACAAACTCTGACCACTCGCGCGCAACAGTACTTTTTTGTGAGATGGTGGAGGACTCGGTAATTGAAGATGAGCGGACGCCTCTTGCGATGAGTTCTGTTTTAAATTCCCGTAATCCGGCCAAGAGAAGGCGAAGACGAACATTTCCTGAATTTACACTCAAAGCCCGTTCGGTTGTGGCGATCTGCTTTTCCAGAAGAACATAGCGCCGCGGTGAGCAGAATTCCTCCTTTTGTGCAATGTTGCTAGTGGCATAGCCGGAAAATTCTGTGTCTTTGAGTTGAAGATCTATCAGCTCCAACCAAGCTCTGACATTTTTCGGTTGATTATACACAAGACGATTTAAATGAGCCACTTTTTCCAGATTAATTGACTTCTGTGCATTTACGCCATCGACGCAAGATTCTGATTGAGTGGATTCTTGAACAGGAACAAAAGGATCGGGACTTTCAGATCTGTCTTTTGAGGAGGCGATAAACTTTCCCAGCATAAGAATGCGTTTATGATTCCTTTTGCTGCAATATCTTTTGCGTTTGTTTTTCTTAGCTTCCTCCTTAAGAGCTTCTGGAGATAAGTCTAGGAGACGCAGAGACTTGAAGCCCAAAATTCGCCTTTGCAACGAAGTGTTAAATTTGGCTACTTCCCCTTCATAAATTGAGGAATATTTATAAATATTCTTGTTGCAGTCACGATCGATACGATAAAAGTTATTGGTTAGCGCTGGTTCCGCAGGGAATTGATCCGTAGGAGTCACCGAACGTTGACGTCTCCTGAACAGAAGGAAGAATGTAAATAGAGGACGCTGATTAGTTGGGCAAATATAGCAAAAATTGGTGACAATCAACACATGATAGAGGTTACCAATATGTATGAAATTTGCGGTCGTTCTAACACAATATTATTGGCCATTTAAATATATATCAGGGCCACAATCACTGTATGCACTCTGGAAGCGATCTAGGCAGATAGATCGCATTTTAGAAGGAAATTTGGTCTTGCTATTCTTTTGAAATATTTTTTTGTTAAACACTTATTCAGGCCCATCATGCCCATCATCGACAGTACCTGATAAAAACATGTCGAAAGCCGCTTAAATGTTGATTTTTATAAGGCTCTTTTCTCATTAGCTCGAAACAAAGCTTTTGAATACCTTTATTATAAATCAGTTAGAAGAGGCGCTTAATTTTAAAGTATCCGTTTTGGAGCATTCATACGGGGAGGTTAGCTGCGACGGCTGGAAACACCGTTCTCAAGCGATAAATGTGCAATCTAATATAAACTACGATAAGAGTGCTACAACCAGCACTGTCACTGTATAGCGTCGTAGTTCGACTTTTCGATGCCACGCCCATAGCGACCGGATATGCAAAATTCATGTCCAACACCATACTTGCCCCGATCATTCCCTAGGGCGCGCTGCGGTCTCGATGTGGAATGTCTAATTCGGATGACATTTACACAGTACACCCAATCATGCGAAGGTTTTTCCCGCGCTCCATGATGAAATATTTTTAAGATACAAATAGTCCCTTAATTTTCAATCCCTAATCAAACCCGAAAAA